GGAGAAAAAGAACAAAACAACAGCAGAATCTTCTTTCCCACAATCTTCATGCACCTCCTGGTCTGGAGGAGTTCATGTTCTCATCTCTGAGCACAGGGATTGATTACGATGGCATTTATAGGACTGAGCACCCCCACACTCTGTGATCCAGCATGGAGTTATGATTTACATCACCACAGGAAGAGTACAGAGGCTTTAACAGAAAAAAAGGCAAATTTTCAAGTAAATGGGCAATGGATTTGGGGAAGGCATTAAAAATTTCTGCTATATCAGATATATGATCCAAATTACAAAGTGTTGCAAAGCAAAACACTTATGCTTAGTTTAAATAGGTTTCAAAAGATGTGTGCTAGGCAAAACCATCGTCCTCTGATTAAAGTTTTAATCAGATTAATGGATTTTTTTCCTGAGTTTTATTTATTTATTTATTTATTTTGAGATGGAGTCTTGCTCTGCTGCCCAGGCTGGAGTGCAGTGGCATGATCTCGGCTCACTGCAAGCTCCGCCTCCTGGGTTCATGCCATTCTTCTGCCTCAGCCTCCCGAGTAGCTGGGACTACAGGCGCCCGCCACCACGCCCGGCTAATTTTTTGCATTTTTAGTAGAGATGGGGTTTCACCATGTTAGCCAGGATGGTCTCGATCTCTTAACCTTGTGATCCATCCGCCTCGGCCTCCCAAAGTGCTGGGATTACAGGCATGAGCCACCTCGCCCGGCCTTCTGAGTTTTAAAAAGAGAAGTTTTCCAGTTCTCTGAAATTATCAAATAAATTAACCGTGAATAATCATTACCTTAATAAACAAAGTTATTTTCACTTTTTTTTTTTTTAATGCAAACACAGAACCAACAACAATAGTGACAAAACCACAAAAGAAAAGGTCCACAACAAAAACACTGATACGGAGCATAGAAGATCTAGAATCACACAAAGACGTGATGTAAGCCTGACTCACACATTGACTGTTGTGACAGTACAAAACTTACAATGATATGTATATATAACACTTATATGTATATATAATCCATTTTACCTGGTTTTGGGTCCCGTAAGAATAACAATTTATATTTGAGTAGCTCCACAATGAATTAATATGTAGAGAGATTTATTGATTCATTTGTTTGTTTTATTGTTAAATTGATTTAATTATCACAAATGAACATACTATTTTTACCCTCTTAACCATTTTTAAGTACACAGTTCAGTATTTGGTATATTCACATTATTGTAAATCCAATTTCCACAACTTTTTCATCTTGCAAAAATGAAACTGTATACCCATTAAACAACTCCCAATTTCTCCTCCCCCACCCCCTAGTAACTTTCATTCTATTTTCTATTTCTAGGAGTTTGCCCACTCGAGATAATACATATAAATAAAATTATACAGTATTTGCTTTTTGTAAATGGCTTCTTTCACTTAGCATAATGTAGTCAAGTTTCATCCATGCTATAGCATACATCAGAATTCCTTCCATTTTGGGGATGAATAATATTTTACTGTGCGCCAAAACATGTATCACATTTTGCTTATACAGTCATTCACTGATGGACACTTAGGTTGCTTCTACTTTTTGGCTGTTGTGAACAATGCTGCTTCGAACATGGGTATAAAATTATTTGTTTTAGACCCTATTTTCAGTTTTACTTAGTATGTATCCAGAAGTGGAATTGCTGGATTATACAGTAATTCTGCTTTTAAGTTTTGAGGAACTGACATACTGTTTTGCATAGAATCTGCACCACTTTAAATCTCTTCCAACAGTGTACAGGGGTTTCAATTTCTCCACGTTCTAGATATTGGTTAATTTCTTTTTAAAAATATAGTAGCCATGGTTATTATTTATTTTAATCACCAGATTATCATCTTCAGTGTTTGAGTTTTAGAAGAATATCAATTCTATTTTTCTACTATTATCCTTTTATAAATATTTCATATAAATAGCTCATCAAATAATTAAGATAATTTATTGTTACTGTTTTTATTTCAATACTTTATGGTAAAGGCCACTGAATACATAAATATGTAAAATATATAAATGATGTATTTTGCTTTGACTCCTTTGTGAATGGCTATAAATAAAAATTTTTCAATAACTTACTATGTGCCAATCGCTCCACAATGTTCAAAGTAGGCTTAATATTGCCATGTTAAACTTCTCTACTTGTGATTTCTATATCTAACCCAGTTGGCAACAAGACAGTTTTGTTTCTTCGTTATATGACTCTGGCTTTATGCAGACCATTCATTCACTTTCCATGCCACTTCCCTGAAATATCTGTGGTTCATTTTTTCAATTCAAGTAAACATGCTTTTTTTTTTTTTTTTTTTTTTTCCCCCAATACTCTGCTACATTCCTGATGTCATACAAACTATGCAAGGGGTCAAAACATAACTCTGGTCCTTTTCAGGAGAAACTCATAATATTTCATCATAAATAACTTATGAAAACATGACCAAAATATGATAGACTATTCATTTGTCTTTTAATTAGGTTCATGCTTGTCTTTCTCAAATGTTTCACCTTCTTCTGTAATTTTATCATATGGTTTTTTACCTTGTCTTTTGATTTCTAGATAATATTCATTCCTACAAGACCACATTTTAGTTTTGATTTCATTTCCTATACATTTGGCATTCCTATCTGGCAAGCTTCCTTTGTTATTTAGTGGTATACAAGTAATTGCTTATTTTTCATTTATATTTTACTGTCTGTGACATCTTTATAATTAACTGATAATTTCTGTCATGCATCAAAATAACTCATTGCTATAAATGTCCTATTTTTAAAGTTGTTCTCAGCTTCTCATTTTCCTTTTAATTCTTCATGTATTCCATTTTCTGATTCTATTTTTCGGACTTCAAAAATACCTTTACATATTCTCTGGATTACTTTAGTGTCACAATTATTCTTTAAATTTTATATAAGCTTTACATACATTTAGTATTTTATGGAGAATGATACTGTATTTGAAGCTTGAGTATAACTACAAAATATCTTTTTTTATCCGAAGACATTTAATAAAAAGAAATAATGTAGTTAGAGCAGATTACTAGATGAAATGAATGGCAGATGAGGAATTGCTATAAGCACTATATTCACTCAGGTCACTTTAAAACCACCATAAGCATTGTGCTGGGTGCAGTGGCTCATGCCTGTAATGCCAGCACTTTGGGAGGCTGAGGCGGGTGGATCATCTGAAGTCAGGAGTTCGAGAGTGGCCTGGATAACCTGGTGAAACCCCTTCTCTACTAAACAAAACATTAGCCAGGCGTGGTGGCACATGCCTGTAATTCCAGCTACTCAGGAGGCTGAGGCAGAAGAATTGCCTGAATCTAGGAGGCGGAGGTTGCAGTGAGCCGAGATGGTGACACTATACTCTAGCCTGGGCAGCAAGAGTGAAACTCTGTCTAAAAAAAAAAAAAATCATTGCAGTGAATTATGTGCTCTACAATTTTCTTCATTCTCAACAATAAATGGAGATAGGTGATTATAAGAACACAATTCAATATTGCTTGTAAACATTGCAGTAATTTCACTGGAAAAATGTTTATAACATAGAATATGAGCTTAATGATAAGAAACTTGGCCGGGCGCGGTGGCTCAAGCCTGTAATCCCAGCACTTTGGGAGGCTGAGACGGGCGGATCACGAGGTCAGTAGATCGAGACTAGCCTGGCTAACACGGTGAAACCCCGTCTCTACTGAAAAAATACAAAAAGCTAGCCGGGCGAGGTGGCGGGCGCCTGTAGTCCCAGCTACTGGGGAGGCTGAGGCAGGAGTATGGCGTAGACCCGGGAGGCGGAGCTTGCAAGTGAGCTGAGATCAGGCCACTGCACTCCAGCCTGGGCGACAGAGCGAGACTCCGTCTCAAAAAAAAAAAAGAAACTTGTTTGCTCTGTTCAATACTGAATACTCAATTCCAGTCACTGGGCCTGGTATGTGAAAAGAGTTTCTTGGTTTAAAAAATTTACTTAAGCTGTCAATGAGTGAAGGAAAAATAAGACAAATTATATGTTATACTACATACAATACCAATAGAAATTGTGGAACAGATTTTTCTTTTTAAATGCCGATTTTACTTATAATCTATACATAAAAGGAAAATGGAATTATGTTTTTATTAACTACAAGCAGCTGTTGGCCGGGCGCAGTGGCTCACACCTGTAATCCCAGCACTTTAGGAAGCCAAGGCGGGCAGATCACAAGGTCAGGAGATCGAGACCATCCTGGCTAACACGGTGAAACCCCGTCTCTGCCAAAAAATACAAAAAAAATTAGCGGGGCGTGGTGGCAGGCTCCTGTAGTCCCAGCTACTCCGGAGGCTGAGGCAAGAGAATGGCATGAACCCGGGAGACGGAGCTTGCAGTGAGCTGAGATTGTGCCACTGCACTCCAGCCTGGGGAGAGCAAGACTCCGTCTCAAAAAAAAAAAAAAAAAAAAAAAAAACTTAGATATATGATAAAAAATTTGTTGTGTAGCAAGACAAACGATAATCTGTACAAAGAATTAAAAACCTAAATATGTCAGTGGATCATAAGTATCAAGTAACAACAAATGAATGGATTTTTAAAGGGCCCATGACCTCTGCTTATTACCTTTAAATACTGCAAAAGAAAAAATAATTCTTTTGGTAGGTTAATATTTGGATTTTATTGATCATATCACTTGTGCCATAGGTCTCCAAAAATGTTCTGGGCTGCATGTACGTTCTGCGCTGCATGTACGTTCTGCATATGAATCTTGGAAGAACACTCATTTACTGTCAATAGTAGTTACTTTAAAAAGTAAAATGACATTTTACGCAGAATTTTCTTCTTTTCCCTTAGCATGCTGTGTTAGTTTCCTAAGGCCAGGAACAGAACAAATGACCATAAACGGGGTTTCAACATGTTGGCCAGGCAGGTCTCGAACTCTTGACCTTGTGATCTGCCCGCCTCAGCCTCCCAAAGTGCTGGGATTACAGGCGTGAGCCACCGCGCCCGGCCTTGCCCTCACCGTCTTAAGACGATAGAAATTTATTTTTTCACAGTTCACAAGGCCAGAAATTCAAAAGGGAGGTGTGAGTATGATTGATTTCTTTGGGAGGCTTTCAGGTAAAATCTCCTTCTTAGCTTCTGGTGGTTTCCAGCTCTCCTTGGCATTCCGTGACCGTAGGCAGCGTAACTCCAGACTCTGCCTCCCTTGTCTCATGGCCATCTTCACTGTAGGTCTCTGTATGTTCCCACCACCTTCCTGTAAGGACACAGCCATTGGCTTTACAGGCCACCCTAATGCATTGTGACCTCATCTTCACCAAGTGTATCTGCAGAGACACTTTTTCCAAATAGCTCAACATTCTTGAGTTCCAGGTGGATATGACTTTCTGTGGGACACTATCCAACATGGGAGATATGCATGTATTTTTTAGAAAATAATGAGTTCTGCCTCTGCTATAAAGTCCCTTTTCATTAGTGTTATTATAAAGTAACATGTAGAGTTGACAGAGCTCTAAGTAGTTCTGAATGGCCACAGCGTGGGAAACAAATGGGGGAGTGGGAAGAAATAAGATTTGATAAACAGTTCAGGGCAAAATGATAGAAGGGCATGTACATCATACTAAAAAAAAAAAAGTGATTGCTGTTTTGTGGCAAGGAAAAACAATAAAAATTGAGAAATATTTATTAGGTGTCTATTTTGTCAATAATGTACAAAAACATTTTGGGGATAATGAGCTGAAAAAGGCATATGGCTTCATATATATCACAGTGCAACAAGAAACCAATTCCTGGGACAGAAACAATTGGTAAAGGAGCACATTTGGTCACGCCTATAATCCCAGCACTTTGGGAGGCCGAGGCAGGCAAATCACGAGGTCAGGAGATCGAGACCATCCTGGCTAACACAGTGAAACCCCGTCTCTACTAAAAAAATATAAATTAGCCAGGCGTGGTGGCAGGCTCCTTTAGTCCCAGCTACCTGGGGAGGCTGAAGCAGGAGAATGGCATGAACCTGGGAGGTGGAGCTTGCAGTGAGCCTACTGAACTCCAGCCTGGGCGACAGAGGGAGACTCCCTCTCAAAACAAAAACAAAAACAAAAAACAGGAGTACATTTTGGTTTGTCAAGTTTGAAGTTGAAAAAAATTAAGTAGAAAACAGGTCTAGCCAAGCTGAAATGTTCCTAGTGTAAACAAAATAATGGGATGAAAATCTCCTGATAGCTCAATGGGAAAGCATGAAGAGATGACAGGAAATAGGATTCAGAGCTTTGCAACATTAAGTGTTAGCGTTAGGAATGGTCTTAGAAGAAAAACATTGGAAAATAAAAAGAAGGTCGTTGGAGTTACAACTTGGTGTTAAAAAGGAGATGGAGGAAGAAAAAATATACCAACTAGAAGAGCAAAAGTTGTAAATACGTAACTTATGAGAACATTTTAACTTTAACTGAGGAATGTTCAGTGAAACTAACAGAGCTCTCCCCACATCTTCTCCCTGTCTCGGTGGTCTTCTTTCCCACTATCTTCTTCCCCTCGCCCTCTCCCCACTGTAGTTCTTTTTTTTTTTTTTCTGAGATGGAGTCTCCTCTGTCATCCAGGCTGGAGTGCAATGGTGCAGTCTCAGCTCACTGCAACCTCCGCCTCCCGGGTTCAAGCGATTCTCCTGCCTCAACCTCTGGAGTAGCTGGGACTACAGGTGCATGCCCTCATGCCCGGCTAATTTTTGTATTTTTAGTAGAGACGGGGTTTCAACATGTTGGCCAGGCAGGTCTCGAACTCTTGACCTTGTGATCTGCCCGCCTCAGCCTCCCAAAGTGCTGGGATTACAGGCGTGAGCCACCGCGCCCGGCCTTGTCCTCACCGTCTTCTTTCCCACCCTTTCTCCCTCTTCTCACCGTTTTCTTCCACTGTCTTCTCTACCACCCTGTCTTCTCCCTGCACTTTCTCCCCACTGTCTTCTTTCCCCTCCTCCCCGCTCCCACTTTCCAAGGTCTTTCCCACCCTCTCCGTCCCCTCCTCCCCCTCTCCCCGCAGTCTTCTGGGCCCCACTGTCTTCCGCCCGCAGCCAACACTGTTCAGTTCTGAGGTAGCGGCGGGGGCGGCGGCAGCCGCGGTGGCACAGGCAGCGACTCTCCGGGGTCTCCAGCAGGGTGCTGGGGCGGAACTCAGGGGCCCAGCTCACGGGTCTACCTGGGCGCAGAGGCACACCGGGCCCAGGAACACAGGCGCGCGCATGCGTGGAGGGTTTCTAAGTGAAAGGCAACGGGAGAGCGCGGAGAAGGGAGTGGGCGAGAAGACGATCGGGGGAGAAAACGGTGGGGAGAGGAAGAGGGGAGAAGAGGGTGCGGGGAGAGAAAAGCGCGGCAGGAAGTCGCTGCTGAGAGAAGGTGGGGAGACGGAAACGGGAAGAAAATGGTGGGGAGGGGAAGAAAACGGTGGAGAGTAAGAGGCTGGGAAAGAAGACGATGGCGAGAGGGAGAGAAGAGAGTGGGAAGAAGATTGTGACAGACGTTGCTGCGACATGGTGGGAGGACACGGGAAGAAAACGGTGTGGGGGAAGAAAACGGGTGGGTAGAAAACGGTTGTGGGAAAGGCGCGGGGAGAAGACGGGGAAGGGAGAAGACGGCGTGGGGAGAAGACAGTGGGGAGAGGAAGAGAGAAGATGGGGCGGGAGAGAAAAGCGCGGCAGGAAGACGCTGCTGCGAGAAGGTGGGGAGATGGAGGCGGAAGACGACGGTGGAGATTAAGAGGCTGGGAAAGAAGACGCTGGGGAGAGGAGAAGAGGGTGGGAAGAGACCGCGGCAGACAGACGCTGCTGCGAAGAGGTGGGAAAACATGGGAAGAAAACGGTGCGGGGTGAGGAAGAAAACGGTTGCAGTAATAGGCCGGGAGAAGACGGTGAGGAGAGGGAGGGGGAGGGGAGAAGAGGGAGCGGCGGGAAGACGCTGCTGCGGGAATAGGCGGGAAGGTGGAGAGGGGAAGCGAGCGGGTGGAGAGGAGGGTGGGGGAGGCCGTGGGGAGAGGGAGACGGGGAGGAAAAGCTGCCGCCACAGGAACCGGTGCTGCGAGGAGGCGGCGAGACTGAGGGGAAGAAAACGGTGGGGAAGAGAAAAAAAACTGCAGGGGAGAAGGTGGTGCGGGAAGAAGACGGTGGGGAGAGGGCAGTAGAGGATGCGGAAAGACCGCGGTGGGGAAGAAGGAGGAGAGAAGACGTTGAGGAGAGGGAGAGGGGAGAAAAAGGTGGCAAGAAGACGTTGGGGAAGGGAGGGGTGGGAAAGGAGAAGGGTCGGGAAGGAGAGGGGAGGGAAAGGGCAGAAGGTGGGGAAGAAGACGGTTGGAAAGGGGAGAGGGACAGGGGAAGAAAAGGGTGGGGAGGGAGAAGGGAAGAGGACAGGCTGGGGGGAAGAAGAAGCGAGGGGAAAGTGGCGAAGACGACGTTGGGGAAAGAGACGGAGAGGGGAAAAAGATCGGTGGGAGAAGAGGATGAAGCAGGGAACGAGGTGGGGAGAGGGGAAGAAAAAGGCAGAAAGACGGGCTGAGAGAGGACAGTGCTGGGAGAAGAGGGGAGGGCGCGGGGAGGGAGAAGGGAAGCGGGGAAAGACGGTGGGAGAAGGTGGTGGGGGAGGAGAAGGCAGTGTGGGAGAAGAGTTTGGGGGAAAAAGAAACAATAGTGATACTAACGTTTAAACGTCGTCGTCTTGGAGCTAAAGAATCAAGTGTTGCTTTAGAGTCCCGGCCTAACTTTGTTCAATAAATTCCCACTTCCAAGTATTTTGCGATTGCAGTGTGGGTCATTTTTAGTACTTAGATCCAGAGCAGTCTCTGATTGTTAGTGACGGTGCTATCAAATTGCATGCTGTTCACCAGCTATAAACGAAAAGATCACATTTCCTTGAAGCGCACTTTAATATGTAATTCAAAGACTTTTCCAAGGGGCTCGTTGGGGAAAAAAATAGAGGTGTGTACCTTTGGCATTGAACATGGAGTCTCTGATTTTAGATTGCATTTGTTTCCCCAAATCTTTAAGAATGTGGCAGAAACATGATTGTGAATAAGGCATTCATTTTGTAGGGCAGTGCATGTTATTTTAACAAAGATGGGGTAAACTGATAAGCCTATAAGAAAATGTAATTAATTCAATTAATTCATTCATACAAATTTAGGTTTCCTTAATATAAAAAACCCAAAAACAATTAAATTGCCTTAGTCAAAACATAACTTCATGCTTAGAGTCAAGAGAATTTGTAAATGCAATCCTGTAATGTTGCGTTATGCCTATATGAAATACATATTAAACCTAAATGGTGCTTTTTTATTTGTCATTACAGAACTTCATAGAAGTTTGTGTGTATTAACACAGGTGAACTTGACATAAACTAATTGGTTAGTGATAACTATTACTGCTTGTAAAATAAGCAGTTAAATGTAAAGGTATAAATACATTTTATATTACCCTACATTTTTAAAAAATATTTTCTTCTTTTGTATTCTAGTTTAAAATCCTGGAATACTGATCTTATTTCCCCATGAAAAGGCTTTAGCTAACTATATTGTATTTCCAAGCAAATGTCTGTACCAGAACATCAAGTGCAGAAATTAAGCAAAATCTGTATTTTAGGACAGTTGCAGTGACTCGCACCTGTAATACCAGCACTTTGGGAGGCCAAGGTGGGTGGATGGCTTGAACTCAGGAATCCCAGACAGCATGGGCAACATGGTGAAACCCTGCCTGTAGAAAAATAAACAAAAAATTAGCCGGGCGTGGTGGTGCACGTCTTGTATTTTATTCGATCAAATTGAAGGCTTCATTTTTACTTGGAAAACAAAATGATTTAATGTACTCATACAGAAAATAACCTTATGCCCAAAAGGGGTTCACTTACAGCACACGTTCATTCATACTGTCAGACAGTGGGTTAAATGTATCTGAGCACCGCCTATGAGTCAGGAACACAAGTGAGTATCCGCATTGAATATTACCCAAGCTTTTCCCATCTGTAATATAGAGTAGCATAGATAATTTCACGGACTTCATCTCTTTAATTTGTTGTGGAACACTAACATGACCACCTCGTATATAACTATCAATGCTGCTCTTAAACAGATGTTATCATCTGGATATTTACTAGATTTAAATGACTTACTGCAGATATGTCATCCATATCTAATGTGTACTATACTAACTAATAAATTGAATTACTAAGTCTTACATGGTTTTGGTTTTAAATAAGCTCTTGGAAATCAGGCAGTTTGTGTTTTGTTTCATCTTATTGTACTATGAAGTAAAGTGGATAAAGATTCTGGAAGCACAACTGCACCACCACCCAGTGAAAAGGTCCATCCTTAGTTCCCACCTTGCAAGCTTTGGATATTTAATACACCATCAGGCATAGGCAACCTTTGCAACATTAAAACAGGAGGTTGCGGCCGAGACGGGCAGATCACGAGGTCAGGAGATCGAGACCATCCTGGCTAACCCCGTGAAACCCCGTCTCTACTAAAAAATACAAAAAACTAGCCGGGCGAGGTGGCGGGCGCCTGCAGTCCCAGCTACTCGGGAGGCTGCGGCAGGAGAATGGCGTAAACCCGGGAGGCGGAGGTTGCAGTGAGCTGAGATCCGGCCACTGCACTCCAGCCTGGGTGACAGAGCGAGACTCCGTCTCAAAAAAAAAAAAAAAAAAAAAACCAGGAGGTTGCAATTTGAGTCATTCTCAGTCACTGACAGTCTATGTGCAAATCTAACAGCATGGCCACCTGTATATACATAGGACAGTGTTCGGATTGGCTTTTTACAACAAATTATATCCTTTAGCCAAAAAAAAAAAAAGAACACGCATGGTAATAACTGCAAGTCACCGTGCTTTCTTAAGGAGAGTATCTGAAAAAGATACATGAAAACAAACTACATTTGTCTTTTTAAAAGCATTCTATGTTATTGTGGAAGCAGCATCAAAGAAAAAAATGGTTAGAAAAAATCTGAATCAGCATGAAATAAAATATTTTGAGGGTTATTGAACACTGTTCATTTCATGAAAATAGGACAAAGTTATTTAGCACAGGTATTTCTGTAATTGTGATACATTAGCAAAATTAGCTGTGTTCTGCGATGCTCAAACTTGCTCTGTGTGTGAAATGGCCTACCATGAATACAAGGAAATTTGTTGTGAAACATGTACTGTAGAATTAAGTTCAAAATCTATCTCTGCTTAAATCACTTAATTTTGTTAAATAAAACTTGGTTTCCAACATCTTTTTTTGTTTCTCCAGAAAAGCACAATCTGCTCAATTCTTAACCAAGTGGAAGAGAGAAAATATTCAAGAAATACAAAGCAATTGTGCACGTCACACTATAGTTGAAAAGTGTTCTGATACTGAAGCTATGTCCAGTATTTTAAGCTGCTTTTATGCAGAGTGATCACTTGTACATTAATCTCAGAAGATTCTAGATGGAAATTCAAAGGGGCCCAGCCAATTAAATGTGCCTCTCTGAGAGAATCCCAGTGCTACTCACTTTCCCGTTTTCTGATCATTGATCAGATGGTTACAGATGCATGAAAGATACATGACTTTTAAAAACAGGATGTTATTTAAAACATCAGTGTTCAGTGCTTGCATTTGCAAAGAACATATTAGATGATACTGAGAACATTGCTTAATAATCAAAGGTGAAATGTTCTGATTCTGAAATAAATGGAGAGGGTTGGCATGAAATTATTATTATTATTATTATTATTATTATTATTATTTTGAGACAAGAGTCTCTGTTGCCCAGGCTGGAGTGCAGTGGCACGATCTCGGCTCACTGCAAACTCCGCCTTCTGGGTTCATGCCATTCTCCTGCCTCAGCCTCCAGACTTGCTGGGACTACAGGCGCCTGCCACCGCACCCGGCTTATTTTTTTTATTTTTAGTAGAGACAGGGTTTCACCGTGGTCTCGATCTCCTGACCTTGTGATCTGCCCACCTCGGCCTCCCAAAGTGCTGGGATTATAGATGTGAGCCTCCGTGCCTGGCCAAAATTACTATTTTACTTACATTTGTTACCAAATCACTGAATTCAAAAGTAGAATTGCTGAAGTCACTGGAGTTTGATACTTCAGGATTGATGGTTTTGGTTGAATTATTTAAAAAATCAAAACTATAACTATATGGTATAAACAAACATGTTTATTTGTTTCAATATAAGTTAAATATATGTCCATACAGTATTCTTAGGTCAAATAGTCAATTGAATGGTTAACAATACTACTTCCCAGTCAATTGCTTTGTCATTGTTAAGATAAATCTTCAAAGAGTTTGAATGTACTTTAAAATATTTGACTTGTAACTTACATAAGTATGAATTTGATAGCTATAATTTGATTTGTTGTAAACAAATCTGAATGATTATAGAAAATTATTTCAATATGTCAAATTAGTTCCATGACACCCGCGGTTATGTAACTGTTAGTACCTGTGGGGAGGGGTCCTTTTTTTCTTAATTCTCAAGCCCATAAGCAATCATTGACAATACTCAATTCTGATTCCTTTTCTTGGGGCCACATAAAATTTAATCCCTGTCACTATTTCTAGAAAAATCTAGAAAAACTTCCTATCCTGAGAGAGAGTCTTTTGCCAGACAATATAATACTTTTTCAGGGATGCAACTGCTTGGATAGATATTTTCAGTTTGGAGTTGTAAAATCATGTTCTATCATCTCAACTATTCCATATACCAGTAGTTTTTTGGGACTGTGACATAACAATTTATTTTTCATTTTATTCACTTGGAAAAAAATAAAGTAGTAACTATGCTGTTGACTTAGGAATCAGAGGTATTTGCTGTTTGATACAGAGTGGGAACACTGCAATTACTTCAAGAAAATGATGACATTCTTCTAGACTGAAAAATGCATGTGTCCTTGACCAAATAACAACTCTTTCTTGTACAGATTGCCCGGACACTCAGAAACTGCCTATTCAGAACATGGCACATCATAGAGATGAATTTTTAACAATTTTATTTGCCCATGTTTTCTGATTGTTCTATTTCACTGTGAACTCTCAGTACCAATGATTAATAACATAATTTGGAGGCTGGGGTTTACAACTGATTGATGACACCGGTTACAGATTTCTTTATTCCTTCTCTACTCCATTCTATGCTGCGACAAAAAATAAGACATTTATAAATAGAAACATTTTATTTGCAGTATAGCATACATTCAAATTAGGTGCTTGCATAGACATTTTGACAAATACTGCCATTTTTCTTTTAACACATAGGTCCTTAGTAAGCACTGCTTTGTAACACCAGTTTAAAATAGTTCTTCTTTTCATCTAACCATTTACAACATAAAAGTTTCAAGAATGGCACAAAGAAAAAATTATTTGTCAAAACAATATTATCAGACATAATTAAGAACATTTTTGTAAGATAACTTTGTGAGGTCAACAACAAAACAGATCACAAGTGAAAGAAAATTTCAAATATCGTCTTTTATGATGAATAAATGTCAGACTTAGGCTTCTGATAAAGACAGACTAGGTACCCTAGAATAATTTAAATTAGTTTTTGTATGTAAAATAACATTTTAAAACAAATCAGGTCCAGGCACGGTGGCTCACGTCTATAGTTCCAGCACTTTGGGAGGCCGAGGCGGGTGGATCACTGAGGTCAGGAGGTCGAGACCAGCCTGGCTAATATGACGAAACCCCGTCTCTACTAAAAATACAAAAATTAGTAGTGGCATGCTCCTGCAGTCACAGCTACTCAGGAAGCTGAGGCAGGAGAATCCCTTGATTCTCGGAGGCGGAGGTTGCAGTGAGCCGAGATTGTGCCACTGCACTCCAGCCTGGGTGACAGCAAGACTCCATCACAAAAAAATAAATAAATAAATAAATATCGGAGGTAATAATTTAATTTTTTTTAACACTAAATTAATGCACAGCCGAGAATTGTCAGGCTGAGATTTGGAGAGAAACAGCATCTAGAGAAATAAAAGCTGTTTTGCCCTGGAGCCATTTGTTACTTCAGATGGGATATCTACCAGATTGTGTTAAACCTCTGCTAGTCTTGCAGAGGCCCTGGGTTTGGTCATGGATATTAAAGGCTGCTGGTGCATTAAAGCAGTGAGAAGGAACTAGAATTCACCCAGTCACC